ACAAGGGGCTTCCTCAGGAAGTGGTAAGCTCCCATTCTTCAGGGTATGAAGGCAGAGGGTCGATGAGCAAGCACATGGTGGCAGGAGATATTGTGTGGAGCAATTAATTGCTCAGTAGAGGCTGTCATCAAGAGTCCTTTAAGGTCTCACATGAACCTGAGACTACAGAGTTCTGACGAATTCAGGCAAGATGAGTTTATCGCAGTAGACGTGATAAACTAATCTTCTGCCACTGATGAAATGGGATGTGCAGGGGAAATAAAGATTCAGAGTCCTGAGTTCTAAGCCTGGCTCTACCATTTCCTAGATGTGTGACCTAGGACAGGTCACTTAGCCTCTCTGAGCCTCAGTTCCTTCATCTGTTGGGGGAAAGGGAGAATGATGCCTGTCTACCAATGCTATGAAGATAAATGAGGCAAGGCATGCCATGCTTAAATAGCACAGGAGGTGCTCAGTAAAGGCTCATGTCTTTTCCCATCTAACTGATGAGTGCTGGGGCAGGTGGGCAGCTCCTATAAGCCCCACGAGCTTCTCCCTCTGCCAGGGATGCAGGGTTCAGGCACCATCAACCTCCCCAGCTCCATCAGAGAGGAAATCAGTGCCCTCCTTAACTGCCACCCTTGCCTCCCCAAAGGCCCTCATGTCTTCTTGCCACAGGGCCTTTGCACAGACCGTCCCTTCTGTCTGGAATACACCTCCTTTCTCCAGTCCACCTGGTGAGCTTCTGCTGATCACTCTAATCTCAGCTAAAGTCACTTCCTCGGGGAGACTTTCCTTGGCCTCTACACCAAAAAAGCCCCCATTACACATTCTGTGGCACCTGATACTTTCCCTTTGGATCATTGATTAAGGTCTGTGTTACCCTTAACTACTTGGAGACGGGGTCCGCAACAGTTCTGTTCATTGTTAAAGTCTCAGTAGTGCTCAATAAATATTTGCTGAATGGATGAAATAATGAATACAAGTCTTCTTCCCTTCCTGCACTCTGGCCATCTGCTCCTTCCCCAGTACCCAGAAGCTCTCTGAGACAGACATTCCTATGTCCGTTTTACACAGGAAGACACTGAGGCCATGGGAGAGTAGCCATCTCAAGGTCACACAGATAGGCTCAACTGTCCAACATCACTCCAAAGCCCAGGCTCTTTCCACCATCCCATGCAGCACTTCTCACAAGAAACAGCAACTAAAACCACAACAAAAGTCACCCTGGGCCTCTGCTACCCTTCAGCCTGGATCTGTTGAGGCTGGTCCCACTCTGACCCGATCCCCAAGTGTGGAAGTCAGGCCACACCACCACTGAGGCTTTCGCAGGACCTGGCTGGGCCTCTTTCTCCATCACAAACATGCTTCTGGTCCAGCACCAAGAGTTCAAGGTGATGGACAGGCCTGGCAGAGGCCATCTGTTTTCAGACACTACAAGATGGACCAGCCTCGATGTGGCTCATTAAACTCTCGCCAAGTGATGTGCTCAGTCTCTGAAAGTCCCTCTCATGGCCGCTGAGACACATACTGGCTGGCTTCCTCTCCCTGGGCTTCCTCGAGAGTCCCAGGAAGGAGCACGGTCTGGGGCCCACTGTATTTCCCCATCTGCTCCAGGAAGTCTTCAGGGTGACCATGGTTTCCCGGGTGGGCCCTGTGAAGCCTGACTTGGATGTCTTCTTCACTAGGTTCTGGGTGCCAGAGGCACTGAATTACAGCCCGAGATGCCCTCTGCATGAGAACTGGAGGCTCTGGAAACTTCCCACCCACGGATAGGAGAGCTGGGGTGGGGCTGGGTTCATTTTATCTCCTCACTGAGGTGGCTCTGCATGGTGTGGTCGGGCCACAGAACTGTATTTTGCCAGAGCCCCAGGTAGAGAGGGGAGATGAGATAACCCAACTGGCTTTCTGGAGGTGGTTTAGCTAACCAGTGGGAAGTACCTCTGGATGTAATAGTCAAGTGACGGGTGATTTTGTCATTACTCATGTAAAGATGGTGTCCTGTTCAGGAGCGGATGCATGGGCATAAGGCTCCCTCCCCACCCCCGTCTTCCCTTGTCTTAAATCCATCCATGACAGGCTCTGAGCCTAGGACAAGAACCAAGGTCAGTGAGGGTCTAGGATGACCCAGAGGCACCCAGTTGGGGAAAGTGGTTGGTCATGATGCTTTTCACTGACGGGTGGGGTTTGGTTGGGCATGGGAAACACACTGAGATCAGCTTCAGATATGCTACATAGAAGGGGTCTGTGGGACCCCCAAGTAGATATCTAGTAGGCAGTTGGGCATTTGGGACTGAAACTAGAAGGGGAGAGCTGGACCAGAGATGGACCAGGGACAGTGAGTGGCCTGGAGGTGTTGGACAAAGCACGCATGTGGTAGGAGCTGCCAGGGAGAGCGCGAGCCATGGAGGGCAGGAGCCCCGTAGGCCCCGAGGTGCCACCAATTAAGAGGCATATAAGAGGGTACTTCGAAAAGTTCACAGAAAGATTTGTATTATCTTCAATTGTATTTTTCCATGAATTTTTTGAAGTCCAGGCCTTTGGCTGTGACCAGGGAAGAGACAAATAGGGGGACCCACCCCCAGAGTGGCACGTAAATGGCTGGCGTACAAAGTCGGGCTGTGTCATCTCTTCCTCAACCCCGATCTGGCCCTCTGCTACAGATGAGAGAAGGGGCCAGGAGGCCATTTCCTCCTGCTAAAAAAGGAAAAGGTGGCCGTGAGTGTGAAGGCCAGGCATGTGGGCGTCTAGTACAGTGCTTGGTGCACAGTAGGGATTTTTTGAAAATCATAGTTGTGGGAGAAAGTTATTATCTGCCATGGAAAACCTGCTAATGCTTTCTGAGATTTGCTATTGCAGTATTTCATGGAATTGAAGACACTGACTATAAGGCACACCATTACCTGACAAATCACTAAGGAAGAAAAAGACGACAGCGTAGGTGGAGGCTCTGATGGGAACGCTCCCATGAATCTGGGGCACCGAGGGGCTGCACCTTCAATGGAAGGAGAAAGGAGGAATAAAACTGCCTCCAGGAAAGGGAGGCAAGGAGATTCGAGGTCTTGTCTCAGCACTGCAGGAAGGGAGGGAAACAGAAACTCTTCCCCGAGAATTTGAACCACCGGCCAGGGCTCCCCAGCGCTGGCGGTCTAAGTTTACGCAATCAGTGTGGTCCAGAGGAAACAAAACAAAACACGACCCACAAGCAGAGTTTTGATTTAAAGAAATCTCAGGCGGGTGTTGTCCTTGGTGAGAGAGGGAAGTAAACCCAAATCCTCACTGGAAGAACTAAATTGTAATAAGACACCCAAATTCCAGAGAAGTGAAAATGTGAGAAATTATGAGTCTTAAAACCCATGAAATATGGTCAAGTAAATAAAATGCTACTCTCAGGTTGCTCAACCTCTGGGTCTATATACCAAGAACCCACAATATGCAATTCATGGGAGGTGTCTGCTCTCTGCTCCTGCAAACTGGCACTGCCTTAGTTTACCCAGGCAAGTGGAAGCATTTCCCAATCTGTTCCTCGACTAAAACTATGTTTCAGATCGGGCCGCACCACTTTCCTGGGCCAGTGCAGGAACTTATTTGACTCACCACCCAACTGCAACTTGAAAAGCAATCACATTTCACGCGCCTGAGCACTGCGGGCAAACACATCCGGGGGCACTGAGCCAGCAAGTGCGTAGGCGGCTGCAAATTTAATAAATCTTAATTATTCTGTTTATACAAACAAGCAGGCTGAAGCCATTGACGTAGCTGTAGCTTTCAATGACTTGGGGCATGGAGAGAGAAAAAAAGCGTGGAGAACTAACTGCTCATAAATAATTAGCTTTGGGGCAGGTTTTTTTCTTCCATTGGGCTAAAAATAATATATGGAATGTTTTTAAGTTGGCAAGATTACAACTTCTGAAGACAGCATCTATTTTCTACCTGTCAGGCCTGTGTATGTGCATACGTGCACGTGTGTGCATGGCCGTATATGCACTTGTGCACGGCCGTATATGCACTTGTGCACATCCCCACCAGTGGAAATCACCAGGACAACCAAGCCAGAGAGGCTTTCCTTCAGAAAAGTACCCCTGCTCCCTGTACTCTCAGAAGGAAAAGCAGGGACGGTGTCTGCAGAAGGCTTCAGGTCCTCATTTACATGGCAATTGAGGACCTACTATGTGCCTATTATTACAACAGGAGCTCTGCCTACCATTAGCTCAGGGTGAATGTAGGACTCATCAAGGGTCACACACACCAATGGTAGAGCCTGGATTCAAACCTAGACTGTAAAGTGTTAGTTCTTAAATTGTGGTCCCCAGACCAGCAGCATCAGCATCAGCATCAGCATCACCCAGGAATGTGTTAGAAATGCAGATTCCTGGGCCACCCTAAACCTAACGAATGAGAAACTTGTGCTTTAACAACCTGTCCTATAAATGAGCCAGGTGGCCTTTGTACATTGTCCCCTAAGTTACTTACTTCTTCACAGCAGGCTGAGACCCATTAGCTCGAAAGCCAGCCAGCACCAAAGTCGAATTTTTACACATCTGATTGTTTTGAACACAGACCAACTAAGCAGACTTTTTTAGCTACTTAGAGCCTTCCCACTTTGCATAGCCCACAAAACTGCACCCAGCACCCACTAGCTTAGTAAGATAAATGTCGGGGGCTACAAAGACCCCAGGCAGCTGCTGGTCTTCAGAGCCCCTGACCAGAGGCTCCCGATGTCAGCAACGATGCCAAGCAATGTCAACTAGACACGGGAGCTTTCTCTGATACCGCTCTCTCCACCCAGTTGGGAGGGACAGTCTACAAGGACAGGTCACTGCTCTTTTGTTCACTAATGTATCCCAAGTGCCCAACGCAGAGCTCGGCACAGTCAGCACTCAGTAAATATTAGTGCAATGACTGAATGAATGAACAACAGCGAGGCAGCAAATGAACAGCACAGCTGTGAACACACCTCATTCACACGTCAGTTACAGGCTGCGGGGACCTGAGCCTGCAATGACAGGCTGGCGTCACCTACTCAAAAACACTTAGTGAGCACTTACTATGTGCTAGGCACCATGGCCAGACACCAGGGGACCTAGTCGTGACTCCCACATGGACTCTGGCCTGGGGGCTGCATACGTGGAGGCTCCCAACCAGTGAGGGGCTTAAAATGCAGGAGCGAGAGGCAGCCTGGACACCTGGTCCTGGGTCCCACATCTACCACCAAGAGCTTCCAAGCCAGGCTGTGTGGGCCTCCTGCCCTCTCCTGATGCTCTTCTCTATTCCACGAGGAGGCTCTTGGTTATTCTAAATGAGGGGGCAAAACCAGGGCTTAAGCGATCAGATCCACTTCCCCTTACAACAGTTCACATGATCTTCAAAATTAGTTCATGAAGTAAATAAAATCGGCATTAATTGCTCCATTTTACAGATGGGGAAAGTGAGCCCCAAGAGACAAAGCAACTTGCTCAAGGCCACAAAGCTGGTTGATGTTGGGCCCACAGCACAGCCTTGGTCTCGTGATTGTCCTGCCCATTCCACAGGTCACCCTCTCTCCTGCAGGTGCCAAACATGACACCAGTCAAAGAGCAGGAAGAAATCCTGGTATGTGAAGCACCTGGGAAACACAGATTCCATGGAATGAGAGAACTCAAGAAACTCAGCGCTCTACGGACCAGAACATGCTGGAGGCTTGTCATTATGGGTCACTGCTTGGCAGGAAAACAAGTGTGGTACCTTGGAAATGGTGGCATTGGGGATGTCAACTTACATTTGGCTTTTGCAGAAATGGGGAGGCCCTCCAGGCCTCAGGGAAGCCTTCTCCAAGGCACAGTGTGGATAGTTAAAATGTGGGCTTGGGAGGCAGAGGCCAGAGACCCCGCAGGAGCCGCTGCCTTTGCGGAACAAGTGACATCGATCTTGCCATTTATTTCTCCTCATGCTTAAAGTTGAGATAATAATGCCTCCTGGGGGTCAGTGGGAGGGTCGGATGAGATGCCCTAACCACACAGCGGGTGGCCAATACGCAGCAGGGACAGCAGCAACCACGTTGCTATTGCTGGCGCTTTGGCCTACAGACACCATGGAAGTGGCTCTGAGCACATCCGCTGGGTGCAAGAGGAATCACCAGCCTGATAGAATGCAAAAGGCACAAACATCCCCCCTCTTTTGTCCCCTACTAAGCCCTGTAAATCCCTCTACACTAGGGTGGCCACGTGGTCCAGTTTGCCTGGAATGGTCCAGGTTTCCTGGGACAGTCCTGGTTTACACATGTTGTCACTCATGTTGTTAGGAGCATCCTTGTTCACTGCCCAGCATGTCCTGATTTGGGAAGATAGATTCCAGGGTCACAGCGGAGCTCTCTGCACACCTCTGGCAGCCTTCCCCCAAGCCCGGGGCTTCCTGAGAGCCAGGACCCCAGGGCCCCACACCGTGCAGCCCAAAGATTCCCCATAAATCTTCCTCACAGAACCTTCCAGAAAGCCCAAGTGTCCTGCCCCAGTGTCACAGGCCCACCAACCCTCCATGCGCCCTGCCCTTTAGCCGTGTGCAGCAGACGGCAGACACCGTACCTTCTGGAATCCAGTCAGCTCCCCTGGAGAACTCTGTGTCTGTTATTTTAGAAAAGGAGAGGAAAAAAAAAAAAGAGTGAAACTTAAATCCCAATGGAGCCTGTAATGGAATATTCATTTTGTCAGGGGAGTGTTTCTTTAAAACTTCTGGTCATCTGGACAGCCTGAGCCAGCAGGTGATTCGATTTAATGAGCTTTTTAACACACTTCAGACCCAGGTGGGATTCGGTCTGGGAAGGCCTTGGCCGCTGTGCCATGGGCGACTGGCTGGGGCTGGGCTGACACCTAGTGGCTGACACGGCTGTTTCGGGGCCAGGAAAGCCTGGAGCACCCCAACTCCATATCTGGGGTCTGAGGGCTGAAAGGGCCCTTGGACGCTCTCACCACCCTCCTCCTTGGACTTAGGAAACTTAATCTCTGTGCCTCAGTTTCCTCATTGGTTCACAGGTAACAACATCAGTATCTCCTTTATAGGGTTGTTATGAGGACATAGCATTTAATACAGATATTTACTATTATTAGTTTAGTTATTATTGTTATTATCTTGTGGGAGGAGACACGGGGGCTGCAAAAGGGAAGGTCCTTGCTCAAAGTCACGCAGCAAGTTAGTACAGGAGTGGGGCCAGACCCTAGGGCTCCTGCTGCCCAACCGGGTGCTGCCCCCCATCACACCTATGACACAGGGGTGCGTGGGCATGCCGGCTCTGCCCTGACCAGCTGTGTGACCTTGGGCAAGGTTTTAGCTTCTCAGAGTCCTAGCTCCCCCCCTGGAAATGGGAGATACAATTACCCTTGCAGACGTAGCTGCAAGAACTGAATGGGGTGATGTGTGCAAAGCTCTCAGCATGGCAGGTGGCCAGTTACCCTGACACATTAACTGGGAGCTCACTGCTGTTGTTACTAGGACTCCAGCCTCACCAGGTGGTAGGATGGCCAAGTGACATCACACAAGTCAAATACCCAGGACCGTGTGTCTCCTTCACCTCTCTCCAAGTGGTCACTTCTGCCTGGTGTGTGGAGGCACAGGGCAGGGTGGATGTGGGCCAACCTCTGTCTTCCCAGAGTCTGGGCCCAGCCGTGGTCCCTTCCCTGGGGCCTGGGGCCTGCACACCCTTAGCACCTACCAGCAGGTGACTGGAGTCCTTGAGCTTGGACTTGTACAGCATCCACCGGTAGCGCAGATCTTCCAGCTCATCCGAGGTCCCTCTTGCTGGCCTGAGACGGAGGAGGTTCTCGAAGAGATGCTGACCTTCTGGTACCCGAGCCTCCAGCTCCTGGGTGAAAAGGCAGAGTCATGATGCAGCTTCCAAATGGCCCAGACAGTCCCACCTGGCTACTAAGGACGGCCCAATCAAATTTCACTTGACACAGAGGCATGCAGACAGGAGGCAGACGAAACTAATAAAGTGAGAATCACATCTCTGCAAATTCAAGCCAAGGCCCAGCAATTGCTGTCTGGAATGTTATGGAATGGCCTCCTGCAATGAAGGAGCAGCTGGACTGCTGACCTCCTATGGTCACTTCCAACTCTGACTTCCTAGGACCAAGTCCCCCAGAGGGCTTGACATAAAAGTTCCATAATTATAAAAGCTATTACAGTTGAACATCTTTCCACTAGCATTTTTCAGATTGGCAGAGTGATATTGGGATTAGGCAGATTTTTATAATAAAATATGGTACTGTGTTCCCCTAGGATGGCACCTTCCATTCTCAGGACTCCTGAGAGGTGGTGTGTTATGGGGTAGGAGCAGGGCTCTAAGTCCTGGAGCCTGAGTTTAAATCCTGGCTTTGAATCTTGGCTCTTCCCCATCCTGCTAGCTGTGCAATTTGGGGCTATTTGCTTAGCTTCTAGATGTGAGCTGTGCAAGACCAGAATGTGGGCTGCACAAGAGCAAGGGGGTTTAAGTTCAGAAACTGAAAGTCATTTCTGATNTGGTACTGTGTTCCCCTAGGATGGCACCTTCCATTCTCAGGACTCCTGAGAGGTGGTGTGTCATGGGGTAGGAGCAGGGCTCTAAGTCCTGGAGCCTGAGTTTAAATCCTGGCTTTAAATCTTGGCTCTTCCCCATCCTGCTAGCTGTGCAATATGGGACTATTTGCTTAGCTTCTAGATGTGAGCTGTGCAAGACTAGAATGTGGGCTGCACAAGAGCAAGGGGGTTTAAGTTCAGAAACTGAAAGTCATTTCTGATATGGCTGGAGTTGGGTGGCGGTGGCAGTGGGGAATGGGAGGAATAGCCAAATATGAGATAGGAGAGGTAGGGTAATGGTCAACTATAGTATTGGAACCAGACCTTACACTGAGGACAAAATATTAAAAACATTTTAAAGGCATCAAAGGGTTAACAAAAGAGTGAGGCATATCAGGCCAAAATTTGGGAAAGGATCAGAACTCAGACGTAAGCCTGCTTTTGCCCTTAGGACATTTGCCAATCTGGAAGAAATAGTTGTGAAAGAAAGATCTGTGCTTTTGGCAGCCTCACAGGGGTAGAGAGACGAAGGTCAAAGTCTGGGCTCTGCCGAGGTAGAGACTCTGATAAACCACCTCCCCCCACGCCCCCATAGCTGAGACTCCTAAAGCCTTCACTCTCAGAGTAAAGGTAAACCAGAAGTAAAGTTGAACCTTGTGCGGACTTGCAGCCCAGCTCCAAGTCATCTCAGTGGTCCAGGGAACCTCAAGCCTTGGACTTGGATTCAGTATTCCCAGAATGATAAAGCCCTCACTTGCCTGGTCATAGCTAACAATCCTCTCTTGAGGAAGAGATTATCCTAAATCTCAAATGAGTCTTACACATATTTTGTCAAGCACAGTGTTCAGCACACAATCAAGGCAGCCACACACATATACAAGACACCAAGAACAAGAACAGACAGAAATAATACACAACAGAAACATTTCTAAAATGTGTCTTGAGATACTGGAATTATTAGATACTCTCTGCAAAACATCTATGTTTACTGTGTTCAAAGAATTAAAAGACAAGCTTAAAAATTTCAGCAAGGATCTAGAAGCTATTAAAAGTGACATAGGGGCCGGCCCAGTGGCGCACTGCTGCAGTGCGCCGCTTGGGAGCACGGCGGCGCTCCCGCCGAGGGTTCGGA